CGCCGCCAAGCGCCTGCTGGAGGCCAGCGCCGACGCCAACATCCAGGACAACATGGGCCGCACGCCCCTCCACGCCGCCGTCTCTGCCGACGCCCAAGGGGTCTTCCAGGTGAGCGACGGTTTCGCCGCCGGTCTTGAGGTGTTCTGGGGAAAAGGTCGGGGGTGCTGTCGGGTCGGTCGCAGCGCTGAGCTTGTCGCAGGGTCTCCAGCTGGCAACGGGCACAGGGTCCAAGTGTTGTAAAGTGAAGCTGGTGTTGTCTCGGGGCAGGGAACAGCAAAGCGGCAACCCCAGAGCTGCCCTCGATGTGTAGGCTTGGAGTGGGGGGGGTGTTGAGCCTGGAGCAAAGGAGGCTCAGGGGAGACCTTCTGGCTCTGCACAGCTCCTGACAGGAGCCTGGAGCCAGGGGGGGTTTGGTCTGTTCTCCCAGGGAACAAGCAACAGGACAAGAGGAAACAGCCTCAGGTTGCTCCAGGGGAGGTTTAGGTTGGACGTTAGGAAAAATTTCTTGCACAAAAGGGTTGTAAGGCACTAGAAGAGGCTGCCCAGGGCAGTGGTGGAGCCCCCATCCCTGGAGGGGTTTTAGAACCATGGAGATGTAGAGCTGAGGGACATGGGTTAGTGGTGCCCTGGCAGTGCTGGGGGCACAGTTGGACTCCGTGATCTGAAAGGTCTCTTCCAACCAGAGCAGTTCTACGATTCAATGACCAGCCTCTGGAAAGGGAGTTGCAGGTCCTGGGCACCTGGAGTTCCTGCTCTCTGTCCCTCCTAACATTCATGTTTCCTGCATTTTGGTCCTCATGGCAGATCCTGATCAGGAACAGGGCGACCGATCTCGACGCCCGCATGCATGACGGGACCACTCCCCTGATCTTGGCGGCTCGCTTGGCTGTGGAGGGCATGCTGGATGACCTCATCAACTGCCACGCAGACGTCAACGCTGTGGATGATCTAGGTACTGGAAGCAACTAAACCACCAGCTCCTGCAGAGGTGGAAGGAATGGGCTGCTCACTGTTACTCTTCCCACTCACTGACGTGTGTTTTATTTCGTGGTCTTCCTCTGCAGGCAAGTCGGCTCTGCACTGGGCAGCTGCTGTGAACAATGTAGAAGCTGCAGTAGTCCTCCTGAAGAATGGTGCCAATAAGGATATGCAGAACAATAAGGTAGGGGTCTCCTGGGCTGGCGTAAGCAAGGAAAGAATTGTTTGGGGAGTCTGCTAAAGGGTAATTTTTGCCTAAAACACAACACTGTGTGGCACCGAGACTCTGATTTGATGGTTCTGCTGTTTGATTTAGCTCCAAGATGCGCTGTGGGGTTTGGTCCTATGGGTGATGTTGAGAGGCTGTGCAGTGCTTGGTGAGCAGTGTGGTACAGAGTTCCTGTGGCCATCCCTTCCCTTATTCTGGGTCCCTTTTAGGGTTCCATGTTTGATAAGGACATGGCTGAGCAGGGTAGGAAAAAGCAGCAGCAAAGAGTAGAGACAGTGGCTGTCTCTGCCAGCCAGCTGCGTGGCGTCGGGTGTGGGGCTCAGGATACTGTTAACCAGGAGAACCCGTGAGCTTAAACCTAATGACCTCTGCTGGGTTTCCAGGAGGAGACCCCGCTGTTCCTGGCGGCCAGAGAAGGGAGCTACGAAACCGCCAAGGTGCTGCTGGACCATTTTGCCAACCGGGACATCACGGACCACATGGACCGGCTGCCCCGGGACATCGCCCAGGAGCGCATGCACCACGACATCGTGAGGCTGCTGGACGAGTACAACCTGGTGAGGAGCCCGCCGCTGCACAACGGGCCTCTGGGGGCACCCCCCCTGTCCCGCCCCCCCCGCTCTGCTCCCCCAACAGCTACATCGGCAACCTCAAACCCGCCGTCCAGGGCAAGAAGGCCAGGAAGCCGAGCACCAAGGGCCTGAGCTGCAACGGCAAGGATGCCAAAGACCTCAAAGCCCGGAGGAAAAAGTCACAGGATGGAAAAGGATGCCTGCTCGACAACTCCAGCGTGTTGTCTCCGGTGGACTCCCTGGAGTCGCCCCACGGGTACCTGTCCGACGTCGCCTCTCCCCCGCTGATGACCTCTCCGTTTCAGCAGTCCCCCTCCATGCCTCTGAATCACCTGCCAGGCATGCCGGATGCCCACATGAGCATCAATCACCTCAACATGGCCGGGAAGCAGGATATGGCCCTGGGCAGCTCCAGCAGGATGCCCTTCGCGGCGGGG